TCCAGATATGTACAACTGGTTTGGTGTATGTTGATTTTCTGTCGACAAACTGTGGCTGTTCCACTGCTCTTCTCTTTAAATTTACCAAGAAGGTTGTTTAAGGGCGGAATGAATGCTGATCGTGCACAAAACATGTCTATCATCGACTCTTTGCTGTAGCAATCCAACGATGCTAAATCTTCAAACAGGTCAATGTACAGTTGCGTCACACAATGGCATACATCTACCCTCAATCGCTCAATTCTCTGGTTGTGAACCGAGGGGCCAACAAGTATAGTCTTTTTAGAAGGCCTGTCCACTTTTGCTCCATTATTTCCCCAATATTTTTGTTTTCTCCACCCTTATCAGTTCGAATTCTAAGTGGCCAGCTGTGCTCTTCGGTAGCTTTACAAAATACTCTTCTACTGTACCGTGAAGTTTATTGTCAGCAGCAAAGAGGTACAATATCTTTCTGGAACATCCATCGATTGCTCCATGTATGACCATTCCAAATTTTCTGTTAAAAATTGTAGACAACAATAAGTTAATAAAACAAGCGCTTTTTGACAAATCTCTAGGGCTCTTTTCTTGCAAAAGAAATTTGCTGAGGAAAAACAACCCACAGATACCTTTGAGGACTGTATAATTAAAAAAAATCGTTTCAAGACAGTTAAAAAGGCACAAGTCCAACTGAAAGCCACTTTTGTTTACATGACTAAAAATATCACCGAATGCCTTTAGTTAACAATGAAATGTTAACTGCTAACGCCACCAGCGAGTTAAGATATAAAAGACACAGAATGGAATTGAGCAAAATTTGTTGCAAGTGAAATGTATCATTCCAATATTCAATAAACTTTAGATATAAATGAAATAAATTTATTAGACTAAATGCATAATAAATGCAATAAACCATTGCACTAACCAGGACTGGCATATATAACAATTTATTAACGATGAAAACTTTGGTTTTAACTTACTTTGCAAGTTTTAGATTGCTGTCTATGTGCCATAGAGAATTTGGCAAGGGTACTTGGTAACGTCTAGGTGTTATGGGAATTTTTTATCGTGCCTGCAAAGCATTTTCATTTATGCAGAGCAGGTCCTCTCGTATCCTTTTTCTCAGGACCCACATGCGCTGTACCCTTAGATCGGCTTGGAGCATCACAACTCCGATAGATGGCTGCCTAGCCAAAGTGGCACTAACCATCTTATCTAAGTCATCATCAGAAACGGAGCGCTCGATCTCAATCCCGTACTCTTTCTTTCGTCGCTTAACAGTTGAAACACTGACTCCTAAAATTGAAGTAAAAAAGTAAGAAGTTTACAAAACCATGAATCAAAAACCGTGTTATTCACAAAAAAATGATAGAAAACTATAAATATTGCTCAGATATTAAAGTAGACAATGTTTGCAAGATTTTCAACATATAATACCTAATAAGGCTGCAATTGCAACCAGAGTGAAGCCCAGTTCAAGAAGTGTTTCAAGTTGTTCAATGTCAATGTCCTAAGCAGGTCTTCTTTACCAGCAACTGTCTCTCCCACCACGTATCTTTGTGTGCAATCTCTTTGTGAAAGAAACTCCGCAATTTCTATTAGCAAAACACCCAGTTTTCCTTCTAATCTTGCTATCTTGCTTCTAATTTCCTGCTGCTCACTTCCATTCAAAGTTGACACTCCCAACACCTGTGGAAAAAGTAGCCTGGCTGTTTACAAGGTACTTAAAGTTGCACGCAGTTGCGACTCCAAGTGTTCAAGTGCGACTGCAATGGTTGGATCACCTCCTGCAATCAGTAAGCGTTGTGCAGCATCCATAATTTTGCCTCATCCACAATGCCAATTACATCTTCAAGTGTTGGTGTTGGTGCGATTGAAACGAAACATTATTATAGGTTCGGTAAAAGCTCTATTAAGCCTCCTTATGACATAGAAATTGAAATAAGCCCCTGGTTTTTGTTATTGACTAGTGTAAAACCAGGGTTAAAAAAAGAGAATGGACACCAAACAAAAGGGACAGTGCCCTGGATACATTACCACAATGAGAAAAAACAGCATGGCTACCAATTTTTTTGGACTCTGGATACAAAATGCTAAAGTTCACCAGCAGCGATCAGTCTTTCAAGGGTTTTAGCTATAAACTGATCCTGATGATCCTGATGAAGATAGGGAAGTTTTCACAAATCAATAACAAGGGGCGTAACCAAAGAGGGTGCTCCGACCCTCCAAAATTAAATTCCCTTCATATGAGTTATGCAATGTATAGCATCCCTAGAGGAGCTAGCTCGGGTCCCAGCACGAAAGTTTTTCAATTTGCAACTAGCTTCTAGTAGTAGGCCCACAAGTTGCTTAATTGAATACAAAGTGGCTGAAACAGTAAAGAACCTATGAATAATGGTCCATATGCTGTATGCCAAAATTTTGCAATCCGACGCCGACGCCACGCCAAGAAACACAACTCCACGCCAAAGCTATGCAGAATTTACTACATGAAACCCACACTGTTTATTACAATGTCTATACCGACTTAGAAATGACGCTTGATCCCGTCTGTTGTCTTCCTTAACAACATTGATTTAGTTCTATGAGTTTCTTAACTAACATATTGGGGGTATAATTTTTGGACAGTAAAAATTTCAAACGCTAAAAATTTCAAAATAATATTTGTCGGACCTAGTATTTGTCCACAAATTTTACCGTCCAAAATTTTTGGGATTAGTTTTTATATTTTAATATATTTTATAAACTGAAAATTAAATCTATCTTTCTAATATATCCTCTCTTTTAGAGCCTCTTCTAAAATTCTGGATCCTCGAAAATTAGACAAGCTCTCCGCCGGAGTCAATGTCGCTTTGACGATATTATAAAATAATGTCTTTATTTTGATATTGTGGAGGTGGATGGGTTAAGGGGGCAATGTTGCTTAGAAGTCAAACCATTGTGGAAGTTACTAGGGTGTGGAAGTTAAATTGCAGCGGTGGCTAGTAAATTTAATTGCAGGTGTAAACGATTTATGTAATGTTTCTTACCAGTAACCATAAATAGGATGAGTGTTGGATAAAACAGCAGAGCTATGAACAAGTTACTCATGTTTCGTCTTTTGCTTCAAATTCTGGTAAAACGACATGTAAGTCTTTGGATCAGGAACAAGTTATGAGCCTAAAATTCCAATATAAATTACTTGAGGAATACGTAGCTGTTTGACAAAGTGACCATATTGTCTAGACTCAGCTGCAAGACCATGATTTATTATGATAGGCTAAGTTTTATTAACTACAGACGTAACAACCTATAAATTTTCTCCGGTGCCCCCATGCAGAAATTACTCTACACTCCAATGCCAGTGGCGTAGTGTACAATAGAAGAGTTGGTGGGTCTCCACCAATTTCGCGACAAACCGTTACGAAAATTTTAGGGGTATCAGAATGGCAGTGAGTGTCAAAATGAATCTGTTAAAAAATATCTTGGTTTATGAAAAGGTATAACTGTTGTTGCAACAGCATGCAAAAGATAACAAATTAAAAACAGAAGTTTTTGAATACAAGCCTTGGCTTTTTTTTATGTTAAAAAATGTGGTCAGGGGGGCTACAAAATATTCCATCAAGAAGTTAGTCCAAAATCATCATCATCACCATCATCATCATCATCATTATAATCATTTTCATCATCAACATCGTCAACATCATAAAATTTGTCTGACTCGCTGATCCTTTCGAGCTTTTTAATTTTAATATGTATACCATTACTTTTTGATGACTTGACAATCAATGTGTGCTCCTTTGCAGGAGTACACATCAAATCTTTAAAAAGATAGTCCAATAAAAAAGATAGTCCTAGAAAATGAGTATTCGCCTCAAGGTTTGTAGAATTGCCAAATTCAAATCTCCTTCAAGTTGTCCATTTTTTAACTCCTTCGGGGTAGCCGGGCGGGTTAAAAAAATTGTACACCTCTGGAAATTTCCCTTAAAATGTTCATGAAAATTCATTGGAGCCTCAAATATAAATTTTAGAGTGAGGCAGGGGCGGCTGGGAGCAAAATTCGATTGGTATTCAAGGTAACTAGCAAAAGCCACGCCCAAAATTCCACACCTTTTTGGAAATTGAGAAAGATGTTTTCGATACTAATTCACTAAAGAGTTTATATTTTGTTATCAATTATTTCAAAATATCTAAAAAACTTCACAAAATGTCACAAATGTTCTCTTGAAACAGTCTATTTACTTCTTTGAAAATCTATCATATCTCCGCTGGTTACAAACTTTAAATCTATCTACAATGACATCCCTAAAAGATGAATTTTTGGCAAGATTTCTTAACAATTCATGTTCCACTTGTAAGAAAACAAGATTGTTCTTTCTAGTTTGCATCATATTCGCCCTGCTGCTTGAAATCACCCTCTTCATTCTGCTGAATACCCGCTCGCAATGCACACTTGTCAGTGGGATAACAACTGCCAGCTCAAGCAAGTGAACAGCTTGTGGAAGGGCATCTTCAAGCTGTGCACCTTTTATCACCGTTAAAAGGTCTTGTATAGACGCAATTCCTTCTGGGACGGTCTCTATTTCGCCAGTTGGCTGCTCTGGTTGAAATTCATCTCATTCTTCCATTTCTTCAGTTTCAACCAAATTACTTTCCTCTCTGTCTGCAGTTTGCAACTTTATGAAACTTGTGAGTTTTCTTGAAATGATCTCATCTCTATCCCGGACAACTTTCTTTAGCAAAATGGCTATTTCAGAAATTTTGTATAAAACATTGAGGTTATACTCGGTTGCCACAGGGTCCGTAACAGCAAATGGGTAGAGCTGTCGCAGCTCGTCTAGTAAAGCTCGTCGTTCACTAGGAGTTGTGAACTTCCTCTCAAAAAACTTTGTGGGGTGAACTAGGTTAATCCACTTAAATTTCTCAAGGTTTGGAAAGCGCCAGGCTAGTTGTGATAAAAACATTGTCACTATTTCTTTCCCGAGTTCAACAAGGGAAATCTTCCAGTTTTCCTGGCCATTTATGGTTGCCTCCATATTCCTTCACCCAACTCTGGCACGAACTGTCGGGATTATTGGGTCTAACTGCATACTATCCTCCCAAATTTGATTGAAATCAAAATCATTTAAGGCCTTATGAAAGTCATTCAACATTGACTTGACGATAACGGGATCTAGTGTTGGCCGTTGCATCACTGTAATCATAGGCGTACAGTACTCGAAAATTTTTGGATATAGTTTAAGCATAAATATAAATTCAATCGCTTGTATTTGAATCCCTAAGCCTCTCGACAAACTTTGAGTTTCAGCCTTTTCTTTCCTGTCATTGGCAATTTCAAATAAAACTGTTCCAATGGTTTTGCAGCAATTGTCAATCACTCGAATTGCTGAGTTGCGTGATAACCAACGAGTGTCCCCAGGCTTGGGCAGGTTATGTCCAAGATGATTTGCTCGTTTAGGACTGCTTCGGAAGAATGTCACAATTTTATCGGTGGTTCCAAAAAATTTCGCTACACATTGAATTTTGTTTGCTGACCTTGATGCACATAAGGACATCTGATGGGCGACGCAATGATTATAGTAAGCCACTGGAAAAAGCTCAAGCATCCGAGCTTGAACTCCATTAAGGTGTCCACTCATTGCAGGGGCTCCATCGTATGACTGTCCAATTAGCTTGTCTTTACTGTTTTCAGGTGTTACCTCAAATTTCGAAAGTGTGCTTAGCACAACTTTTGTTAGACCTTCTGCTGACTGATCTTCTGAGGAATCAATTAGACCCAGCAAATGCTCTTCCACCTTTCCATCATGCAAAAGTCTAATCAACACTGCAGACTGCTCTACGTTGCTGCAATCACTGGTATCGTCCATCATCACTGCTAGATACTTCGAATGGCTAATTCTGTGTCGAATTTCACTGCGAATTTCTTCAGCTATACAGTCCATTAGCTCATTTTGAGGATCGTGAGATGTGTAGGTAACACGTTCTTTATCCAAGAAAGATCGCAGTTCCTGGCTATAATGTGCTAAAAGATCCAGCCCACTCTCATGCTTCATACATTCACTATGAAAGTATGCAAAATCCTTTCATATATCCACAGTGAATGTATAACGAGTTTGGGTTCAACATAATGTTAAAACGTGCGCACGCGCGTTCTATAGGTAACCCTGTTTATAATGGTGGACAATAATTCCAAACCTGCGACTGAAAGTCAACCTGCAAATCCTCAGTGTTTAACCGCTGAAAATTCCCAAAAGGTATAAATGCCCACTATAGGGAAAAAATGTTTTTTCGAAATGCCTATGGTATCTGACGCCAGGAATAAGGGTCGATTCTTACAGATTTCTGCAAGTAATGAATAGGGTTTTAGAGGAGGTTGGTGAAACGATAACCAGTTCTGTTTTCAAGTGCATGGGTCTAGCAGGAGCCGAACGTTTAGGGAGCATAGTATGGGTTTTGCGCGAATAAAGTGGCTTCATTGAGATGAAATTGCCCGACTGGGTCTTGAATTCGATAAATTTTGCCAGATTGAGGGGGGGGGGGCAGGGCCCTCATGCCTCATGAACAATTTCTTGTCAGGCAGATGGCCACTGGCATGTCTATGTAGTATAAGTATGAACTGAAAAATGGGTGGAAATAAACTAGAAGGGGAATAAAAATGCTGAAGATACATCAATTGGGATTGAATTCTGTAAATTGGGTACAGTGAAAACATCTCTCTCGGTGGGGTCCCCAGAAGCACTCACATGATGACTACCTTATTCATGAAAAAATTTCTTTAAAATTTCACGAATTTTGAGAGCTTTCTGCCAGGTATGACCAAGTTACAAGGGCAACTTTAATCAAAATGGGATCATTCACTCCTATGGTTCCCTTTTCTTACCCCTCTGGTAACTTGCACATTGATTAATCTGTTCAAAATGCACCTTCCTAAGTTTAGACCAGTACAGACATGAAGGGACTGATAGGTTGAATTTTCCTATTTTATGAAAAGCTTTGCTTACAAGCTTTCAGAATTAAGAAACACAACATGAGATTGTGTATTTTTTTCTCAGGGGCAGTGGTCAATGGCCACTTTGTTAAAACATACATATCCACTCCATTTGCAGAAAATTCTCTGCTTGGCAGTTAGGAGATAATGCTTCTTTAAATAAAATTCTGAAAGAATAGTTAGCATTGATGGCCCAGCAGAGTGTTAAGAAATATTTAGTTTCACTTACTCTCTATCAAAATCCTGGAAGAATGGTGATTCAATTCAGATAAAACAAACTTGATTACTGAACTCATAGCTGAAAATTGATATTTAAGTGGCATTTATAAACTACATTTTACAAATTATGCTAGCTACAAAGCCAGAATCCTTTCAGCCACTGGCTTTTCATGTATGTACAAGGCTTTAACTTGCTTGACCTCTAGCTAGTTTCATCCTTCTCATTTTGGTGATAATTCAGCCCATACTAGGTCTAGCCCAAATAATTTGACATATATATAAATTGAGAGAAATCTTCAAATTGATTTTAGCTAGCTGGGAATAAAAGGAAAAAGAAAACTCAGTCAGCTGAAGAGGCCATCAAGGAATTTCATGTATCAATGGATGAGCTTTTGTCCCAAAAGGAAACCAAAAAGAAAGTTTTTGTGCAGATTCAAAAGGATTGTAAAACAGGCCAGCTGATTACAAAACCAAGAAAAATCTACGAACGCAAAAAACAAGCTAATACATGTAAGAAGAGCAGCGAGTTTATAATAAAGAAAATCACAACAGGAACCTTAAAAATGTGTGTTTTCCTTGTATTTGGGTGATTGCACGAATAAAAAGGTAAGTCAAATTCATGAAAATAACACAGGAGATAGAGCAAGTTGTTGAAAAACTTTATTTTAGATTGATTTACATTTTCATCAAAGGAAGGTACCATCACACATTAGGTTCTAACATATTGCAAACTAAAACTGATTTGGAAAAAAAGAAAAGCATCACAATAAAATAGCCAAGCAAAGGACTGCCACTAAAGGGTAATTTGTTTAATATAAGTTGCTGATAAAAGCTTATTATTCATTCTGTTTCAATATTCAAAATAAAATTAAGCAATGCTGTCTTCCTTGTCAATAGCTGGCTAGGCTGTCTTTCAGGGCACTGGGCTCAAAAGGTTCTCCCAGTGTCCTGGGCAACTTATTTAATATTTTGATTAGTTTGAATATATTGCAATTAAATTGTAAATGTTTCTGAATCACATGAATTTGAACTAAAGAAACATTTTTTCTTCTGGTTTTACATAGTTTTTGATTGTTATCAGGATGCTAAAAGAAGAGTGCTTAATTTTTAGCTCATTCTGGTAAATCATCAGAATCATCCAAATCATCAGCATCAGCTGCCCCATTACCAAATTACCAGCTGCCCCATTTGCAACATTTGATACTGATGATGACATCACTGAAAATGGTAAGTTTGGTCATCTCCCTCCTCATTTCAACAACTCTATCAGACTACACACCCCCTTTTGTAATTGCAATGGTACAGCTTAACTGTTTTTTGATAAATCATAAAATCTGCATCTTGTAAAATTTTAATGATTGATTTTTTTTCAGATGACAAAGCTGTTACAGATGATTCTGCTCTGGAATCCTTTGTCAAGTTTCTTTCAGATTTGGAACTTGAAACTTTTGGATCAACGGAGGGTGGAGAGAAGGAGTGGATGAGAAGAAAGCGTGCTTTAGATGAGAACTGGGCAGGTATGAGAGAAAAGCTACATGCCTGGTCTCTCATGAAAGAAATTATGTCACTTGATGGATCTAAATGTGCATTTTGTGACAATGATGCGGAATTACGTTGTGCATCATGTAGAAAGATCCTATGTGCATCATGTGATGGTGAAATACATGAAAAGCAGCCATTTCACGAACATGAGATTTGGAAAAATGGTTTCTTTGAGAGAATTTCAAATCGGGAAACTCTTTCCGAAGGGGTCATTTGTGTGAAAGGTAAATTTATTGTTTATATGAACAATATTAATCAAATAAATAAAAATCTTCATGTTATAATATTTTGAAAACGTCATTATTTGAGGTTTTGTAATGAGCAGCCCCTTGAACTGCAAGCTTAGCGGCCATATGATGCAAAAAGTTTGATAGTGAACTATTATAAATACTGAATTGTTATTTGTGCCGATTAATACTGTGATATGCTTCTAGTTTCCATGCTGTTTGATGTTTTACAGTGTTAAAAGCTTTATTTTAAATTTTATGCCCTTGCAGAAATGCACCTGCCGGTCTATTCACCACAAACCTGCCCACAATGTAGTGCTACTGCGTCTTTTAAATACAGCTGTGTCGACTCAGTTATTACCATAGTAACAGGAAGAGGTGTGTATTTCATTCTTACCCTTATAGTTTTTGCTTGGTTTTTTTGTTATATTGCTGATATTTCTAAAATTCTACCGGATATTTTACTTTTTTATAAGACGAATTGGTTATTACAAAAACTAGATAGTTAGGAATTAAAGTGAAGAGGAGAGCCAATAGACTTCCAGAAACTAAAAAGTATTGTCTCTGTATTTCCATGGAGCTCCAAACAAAATACAACTCTTTTTTGAAGGACGATTTGAATTCAATGACACACTGTACCACTGTAGAAACTGCCTGCATTGTGTTATCGGTGGTAGTCAGCAGAATATGGTCCTTTCTGGTTATTGGCCGGCAACACCTCAACTTGGGCTGACATACTATACGATTGATCTATTTGAGCAGTGGAATGCAATCAGTTGCTAGTCTCTAGGAACATCGTTGTCATCCTTCGTCAAAAGTATAGATTGTATTTCTGTCAACGCTGGGAAGGTATGCAAATGCTGTATTGGTTAGAATGCTGCATTTTTGACAACAGGTTTTTTTACAGCAAAGTCAAATAAATTCGACTCCTTTCGCAAAATCATTCCGCGAATGGAAATACAGCCAACAGTTGGTTGCAAGTCATTTCACCGAAGACTCTTTTGCATGCCCTGTATGCGTGAATAAATGCCATTCAATTCACGTTGACGGTCACCGAAAAACATATCGTTTCAAGAAAGTACCACGGTAAGCCATTTGCCAAATTTTCAATAAAGCCCCGTCTGACCTTTGCTGCCATGTAAATATTGCTGGGGAAATGTAAAACCCATGGTTTCACATTAAAACTGAACCATATTCTTTGTTACTATGATACACACCGAATATTCTAAAGATTGAAAGGCCTTTGGTCAATGCCAAAAAGGTATGCCCAACTACTTCTTGACTGAGATGAGTAAAGCTGATATAAAAGGCATCTAATTGACTTTGTTTTGACCTTTACACCGCCCTAGGTAAAGCTATCTTTCATGAGAGAAGTATCCATAAATATTTCTCTTCTTTTACCATTTCAGTAGGGTAGAAGAATCATTATATAATAACGCATTCATCGCAAATGATGCCGAAGTTGCACAGCATATGAAAGCTGTTTACGACATGATGGGTAGCCAGGTAAAGTATATTACCACATCCTTTCTCAGAGAATATCAGCGAGTCTTAAAATGCCTAAGTCTATATGAATCGACTATAATTTTTATTTATGATATTGTTAGAAATTGAACATTTTATAATATATAAATTAATCTAAGGAACTATTCCTTACAGGATTATAAAGAAGATAAAATGTGTGGCTCCTCCTACTGGCAAGCAGCCCGCTCCAAAGCCAAAACTGGTTTTGCAACTCTGGATGAGACAGGACTTGTAGTAGCCGGCTGTCGCCATGTTATTGCTTTGAAAGCTGTAAACATGTTTGCAGGAGAACAGTATGGCTATGCTCTGTATCTGCACAAAGAGCTAATGTCTAATTTTAACATCCAGTTTTTTTGGCAAGATATCATGGGCAAATATTGGCCATGGCTTGAGAAAGTCAGCACAAGAACGCCGGAATTGTCACACCTGTTGTCCATGTCCACAGCATTATCTGTTATGCATGCTAAAGCCCATTCACTTGACTGTCAGGTAACTTGTCTAATCTAATGATAATGATAAATCAGACACGTATTTTAGAACACAAAGCATCCTGTATGATAGGAATAATAGCCCCAGTTATGCCCGCTACGCTGGCACGCTGCAGCCCTTCTGTCTACGAGAGTGAAATATGTCAAGAGTGTTTTTGTTAATGCAACACTCTGTTAATGCAAAATGTTAATGCAAAGAGTCTCTCAAAATTGATTTCGAGTTTAATTATTTTTTTCTCTACCCAGTCGTTTTTATAATGTCTTAATTGTAAAATAAAATTTTTTTAGATTGTCTGGGAAGGCTTGTACCAGGAAAAAGCAGCTTTGTCAACTGGCGAGTCCATGGAGCAGTTTTTCTCCTGTCTAGCTAAATGCGGGTTAACTACCAAGAACATGAATGCAGCTGGTATCTAATTTTTTTAAAATACTTATCTAGACGAAGTTATACCAAAGTTATGGAACATGTCTTGAGCGAATACAAAACATTGAGTTTTGTTTAATTTAAAACATTGAGTTGCGTCGTGACATTGATTAATTGTTTTCGTTGATGTACTTTCTTCAAGTACTTGTAACTTAAATGAAAGTGAAGTTCATCTATGTTTCTTATTTCAGCTCGAATAGATTCGCTAACAGAACACACGGCGTTCTGGAACAGAAGAAAAATTGATAACTTGGCATTTTCATTATCAAAGCAATACAAAAAGGTGTCCTTTTAATTTTTTTAAGTTTCATTATTCTTTTTATCTCATCCCCCGAAATACCCATTTGAGAGCATTTGCACAGATTATCGTGACTCGCCCTATTTCACACTTGACGAAGAATTTTTTGCTGATACTCAGAAACAAGAGGAGGGGGCAAAAAACCATAAAGAAGGAGAAGACATCTTGTCACCATCTAGAGTACACAAACCATCCCAAGATGAGAAAGAAGAGGGAGCAAAAGCAAATTCTGCAGACCAATGCACCACTGAACTAGATGCATCTAACACCACTGAACTACCGTTACCAAAGAGGGAGTCTCATTTGAGTTTCGCTTCAAACTGCAGAGATATGCTTCACAAGATAAAGGGTCTCGCGTATTTAATTACAGATGTTAATGCAATGTCAGCATTGGAGGATAATTTGGAAACGATACTTGAAGAGCTGACAGAAAGTGCAGACAAAGAAAATGGATTCTTATTGGAGAGGAAGGATGTGAGAAATAAAGTGGGAAAAAAGCGATCGCGACAACGTGCCAAAACGTCCCGATTTTTGGCAAAATTACCTGTTGAGCCAAAAAGACAACGGAAGCGAAGATACGGAGAAGGATATGAAACCTGGTTAGCATCAAGAACCCTGGATGTAAAAGAAGAAGGAGGGAAATTCTGTAAGCAAAACAATTTAGGCAGCCCTAAAGAGATCCTTATATTATCTTGATCTAATCTAATGTGCTAAACCAAAAACAAAATGGATTGAAGCACTTTAGATAATCATTAATTTTTTGCAGGACAGGAAAATCATAACCTTTCTGGATACTGAAATGTTATTGTACTAAAATGGTGTATTCTGTTTCTACATTATAGATTGTAATTCATTCACAACTAGTGACATTTTCAATCATTTATATATGTTATTTATTTACATATAATGCTATGTAAATTGTTCTAAATGTTATACTATGATACATTAGTTAGTAGTGCTACAAATTGATTTTTGCATTTAATCAACAGCAAAAATAAGAAAAATACAAAGCAGCAAAGGATTGCCAGATGGAAAAGTAGCAAGAGATGTATGTATTGCATTGTATTGTATTGTTTTGTATTGTATTGTATTGTATTGTATTGTATTGTTTTGTATTGTATTGTATTGTAGTGCATGACGCATTTTAAACCCACAAGGTAGCTTAGTGAAGAGGTGTATTAAACATGAAGTTTTAATTTCAATTCATTTGAAATGGTACATTACAACCCTAAAACAATGCAAGCTACAGAAAAAGATAATATCTAAAATATAAAAAATGCTGCACTACTGTATTACTACAACAACAAAGTTACTGTTTACTGTTGCAGTTATAGAAAAGACAGGACGATTTCACAGATGGCGTTTTCAGGTCTCTGCAACTTACATATTGCATTATATAAATAAACACAATGAACACAAGGCAAGATAGCATGTATTGGAGGAATCTACTTATAAGAGCATGCAGATTCATTACAGGCAGTAGTGTAATTTGATGGGCTAGACACACACACAATGGGACAACTAATTAGATATTTTGATAGTACAGAATATTTTTGGCACATACAAATGATCAATTAGGCAATTCCATTTACAAATCTCTAAATAATGTTATATCCATAAAATGTTCTTCTTGATAGGAATTACTTGAAACTGATATTCTCATCCAAAAATCAGAAGAGCATCCTGTAGACAGCACAGCAAATGCATATCAGCTCATTGAAAGTAGCGATGAAGATGATAAAATCAATGAAAATTGGATCTCTATTAGTTCACTACAATTAACCAAAGAAGACAAAGAAATTATGCAGTTCTCTGATATGTGGTTAAATGACAGGATCATAAATGCAGTACAGTTTATTTTGAAGAAGCAGTTTCCACTCATTGAAGGATTCCAAGATACACTTCTTCAAAAAAAGCATCAATTCAAAGTAATGTCTGGGGAGTTTGTGCAGATTATCAATAAATCGGGAAACCATTGGATGACACTGTCTACCCTTGGGATAAACCATCAGGGCAGCATCAAGATTTTTGACAGCATGAATTCCAAAGTGCTGAATCAAGAAATCAAAGGCATCATTGCTTCTGTCATAATGACAAAAAATCGAGTCATCCATGTCAAAGTGGAAAATGTACAACAACAGCCAGATTCCTATAATTGTGGTTTGTTTGCCATCGCATTTGCCACTCATTTATGCTTTCACCAAAACCCAAGGTGCCTTCAATTTGATGTTTCAAAAATGAGAAATCATCTATTCAAGTGTCTTGAAGCTAAAAGACTGGGGCCCTTCCCTTTGTCTGGCATACACAAAAATGAACACCTTGGCAGTCTCCATGTATTCAGAGTATACTGCATATGCCGCATGCCTATTGACAATGAAGACATAATGCAGACATGTAACGTATGCAGTGAAAAGTTCCACAGGTACTGTCAGCAAAAGAGCAATGTCATAATGACTTGTGGTATTGCAGTGAGTGCTGGAAACTTTTACAGCAGTGAGTGTTTTAAGGATATAGGTACTCAGGCTGGATAATTAAACTTTAACTAAGAAAAAGTATTTATTTGGGATAATAGAGAAGGGAGACTTGAAATTGCAAGACCAGAAACAATCAAACCTAAGACTGTGAAATCTATGTAAAACTCAGAAAACACTAATACCTAAGGAACAAGGACTACAAAACCTAATACCCTGAAATGAGAACCAATGCGAACATTTTTGAAATAACTGGAACCTTCACTTAGTTGGGGGTAAAATTTTTCAAAGATCCCACAAATTTGCCAACCAAAGTTTACACAAAAAGCTCTTTTGCCAAGAATAGTGAAGCATATTTAGTAGATTTTTATCTTACTATTCTTTTATTAGTATTTTTAGTAGATTCTTATCTTATTATTCTTCTTGTTATCTGTCAAAAGTATCATTGTAAGTTCCACTAGTTTCTGGTTAAAAGTTTTAAATTAGAAGAGTAGGCATAAGGCCCAATATGATATAAAATATTGTTTTCTAGCTTGTTAGTTTGAAAAATATGGCTTCTTAAGCATGATCTGATAAAGCCCATCATGAGACCTCATACCTAGAGCTGAAATTTAGTTATTAGATTTAACCATACATCTTTGTGACTGCAAGCCGAATCAACATGAATGTATCTGATATTATTAAATTCTATTGTTATGTTCAAGATTTTAACAAACTTGTATTTCAAGAAAATTCTTTGTGGTTCAATACAGCCTTCTTTAAATAAAAAAGCATTTCTGCCATTTTTGGATTGTAGACCATTTTGGTATAAAGTCTGACGAAATTCTTTATTGGATCTGTTATAATAATTCTGGCATCAAATACTAGAAAATTTTGAAAAACATAATGTAGAAAAAAATTCTGGAGAGGTATGGGAGTCAAATTGCTGCCAAATACCATGAATTTTGCTTTAACATGCACTCATGCATTTCTAAAATGATCACATGACTGATCCAAAAGCTGATTGCAATGCTAAGAATGCGATCGCATTGTTTAAACTAGGCACTCATGGTTATCATGCTCAATTTTAGCTGTACGCGTTCTATCACGTGTCCGTTTTGCCATCTTCTTGATGTGTCTTTGTTTACGTGTTGAACTCGAGAAAATAAATGTCAAACTGCCAAAAAACTCCGTGATTTTCAAAAGGGCTCCGTGATTTAAATGAAAAGCAAATTAATGGACATTTTAGCATCGACAAGAGCACCGTAAACGATAAACTTAGCAAAAATCCTGTCCGTGTGGGGGTACGAGCCCCGCCACCTCCGAATAGACAGCAAAGGAATGGCCGCTCGCAAAAAATTACAAGAAACACCTATTCGCATGGACTCAGCACAAAAAGTCACTGAGGATTTCAAAATATACGTTTGAAGTTAACACGGACGTAAAAATGCCGAAATTTTCCAAAATGAAAGTTTAGAAAAAAGTTTGTTTTGGTTGCGGACGATTCAGGATGTTTCCCTTCATGATATAAAACTATAGCATCGATGCGAGATCATTAAACGCCAACTTGATTGTCATTGCGGGTCGTTAAAAAAATGCCGTTGTTTTAGGCCAAAAAACTCTAGCTAAGGGAAAACCTTCACTCAATGAATGAAATCCGCCCATACCAGATTTCCCAATTAAATATAACAATTTTACCACAACTAGATTAGACAAGAAATCACATTTGTTAATCATGCAAAAAACCATGAGCAATTCGCCAAGTAGGGAAATCTTGACTCCTCTTAATGATAATGATGAAGAAAAATGAAACCTGGCAGCAATATTTCCCTCATCACTACTCTATAAATGAAACCTGCCCATACGAGATTTCCCAATTAAAGCCAAGGATTTCGCCACAACTAGATTACACAAGAAATCATATTTGTTAATCACATAGCAAAAGATCAAGTAGCGAAACCCTGACCCCTGTTTATACTAATGATCAACAGGAAAACAGAATATAACAGGGAAAACTGAACAAAGATTTCACTTCTTCTTGAACACAGCTTCTAAGACGTTGATACAAACTGAACTCGGTAAGTATCTTTAAATATATACTTTTAAGTTCCTTTTTAATCATATTCATCTTTATCTCAAGATTCATCTTTATTGAGTTGTTTCCTTCACAACACATTGATTTCGCCACCTCGTATTTTACCATATAAATTTACCTCTGATTCCTATTTTTAACACCAGATTATCGTGCTTCTTGTACTTTACTAACGTTCACAACAGACGCCTTGAAATTCGAACCCTTTTCGCGTAAGTAACTTTTTCTTCCTACCAAAATCCTATTCTCAATGCATTTTGGTATAGACGAATGAATCTGACTCTTTCCTTCACAATACATTGATTTTGTCACCTTTTAAAATTCGAACCATTTTCCGGTGTCGCGAACGCGATTGCACCCTGCACCAAATTGTGCCATCACTACGAGGCTACTCTATCACGACCATCCAACATCGCAAAATGACCATCATTCAACCTTTACAGAACCAATATAGTGAAGTAAGTCGCGTTTTAACCTACAATTGTAATTATTTAAAACAAAACTAGTCATTTACTATTTCGAAGCAACTGCATTTTTCTAACTCATATCCTTAATGCTGATCATCTACCATAAACAAAGAAAAGTTTTGGTTGACAACTTAGATTTTTAATGCTTGGAACATTTCAGTTCAGGCAAAATCAGGCCGAACAGAATTGTACCTGCCCCCTGCCAATCTTCTCACTTACTTTTTTTCGAAACAACTGCATTTTTCTAACTCATATCCCTAATGCTGATCATATACCATAAAAAAAGAAAAGTTTTGGTTGACAACTTAGGTATTTAATGCTTGGAACATTTCAGTTCAGGCAAAATCAGGCCAAACAGAATTGTACCTGCCCCCTGCCAATCTTCTCACTTAATTTTTTTTCGAAACAACTGCATTTTTCTAACTCATATCCCTAATGCTGATCATATACCATAAAAAAGAAAAGTTTTGGTTGACAACTTAGATAGAGTCGATGATGTGTAGATAGATAGTGGGCAATATTTATAATTTGAAGTCATTTTTCAAAGGTTTTGAATTAGTTTTCTAATTAAAATAAAGGGATTTTGAATCCTCTCTTCTCGTTGAAGAATTTAATTTCTTCTTTCTCCAACCTCAATCCAGGTGGCACAACAAGATTTCCTGGCTTGAAATAATCATGACGACTGAATATGCATGTGAAGTTCACATGATAGTAGCCGTTGTTAAACACAATCATTTCTCTTCTCAATTTCTTATTGAATATTTGTCGGCCTTTTTTATGACCAACGACAAAGGATTTCCCGGTATATGGTTCGGTGCAGCCCTGGCATTTATTGATTCTCTTAGTTAGCCTTTTCATCACAAAAGGTGCAGCAGGATTATGCCAAGGTTGCTTGTCATTGAGATTCCTCTGCTGTTGTACAATAGGATTGATAAATGACAGGGGTCTGCTGTTTGGGCTGGTATTGGTGCTGGAATTTTGTCTTGGACTACTGCTGGTGCTGGTGCTGGTGCTGTTGATGGTGCTGCTGGTGCTTCTAGTGATGCTGGTACTTCTAGTGATGCTGGTGCAACTAGTGATGCTGGTGCAGGTGATGGTGCTTGAGTGACATGCCTTCCCAAGCACTGAGCATGTAAACAAATTAGGAAAGACATTGCTCTTGGCACTCTCTGGAAGGCAGGACGTGTGGAATAATTTCTGGTCCATACATTTCCGGCACTCAAGCTATAATGGAGTAGTCGTCTTGGTTTGATTTTTGATTTTATTGAAAGATTTTATATATACATGTTATGCCGATGTATTGTCAAGTACAAAGCAAGGCATGATATCATATGGAATTTTCAACTGTCAAATCAAAATTGAATTCAAATATTTCCAAATTTTCACATTTCAAAAATACATTCTCTTATGTAGTATGATTATGATCGTTTAAATTTGTTCTTACCACGTTCCCAACATTTTTATTAATTTCTTCGCCACATAGCCGGCAGTCTCCATTCACAGCCTCTAAATAAAGATACCAAATATTGTTTCTCAAAGCTATTAATTCTGCCTTAATAGAATAAGTATGGTAGAATCGTTAAACTGTGATTAAAGGTTAAAATTACACATAGCTAAAGACTTAGATGTATTCAATAAAGCGTAGATCAGATGTCATAATGAATTACCTGAAAACGTAATCAGCAGACTGCCATAATGTTGTCTTAATCGCGAAGTTTCGACGCTGTCTGGAAACAACATGCTCCCAAGAATGACATCAGCATACTATAAAATTCAAAGTATAGTGATTATTAGAAGCAGTCAAAATGTTTAATTTAGTCTAACGATACTTGATGTTCTAAAGTTCTTCAGAAAAAATGCTTCGGTCGTATAATACCTAGTATAATCTGCAAGCTACATAAGAATAAACTGACAACTAACCAATATGCAAAATATTCCACAAGAATGGGCATCTTGCTGTTCGGGATATTTTGCTGGAACATTGAATACCCATTCGTGGGAGCGTGTATCTTTCCTACGCTTCATGCTTTCCCTGACAGGAAACAAATGCTCGATAAGAAATTTTTAATGTGAGATGTTTTAAAAAAGGAAACTAACAAAGTTGCATTTTCTGAGGCTCCAGATAGTCTATAAGAATAATTTTCAATATAGCATACACTGCATCCAGCTTGGAATAGCAAACGCAAAGCTACTGGAGCAGATTATGATCTGATCCCTTAATACGCAAATCTTTGTTTTTGAATCTGCCATGGTGTTCAGTAATTCTTCTTATATAATTGCTTACTGCAGTGTTCACTTGCTGACAGTTTTTTGTGATAGGTCCTAATTGAAATTGAAATTGAAAGTGAAATTGAATTTGTTAAACAAATTTCGCTAACAATATCTAATTTTTATACCTCCAGTTCCTTTCATATTGCTGGATAGCGGAATTTCTTTCCCGTACTGGATTTATATACTGTACCAGTCGCTTCGATGGGTAGATGACCTGTAAAGTTGAAGTTTTTTGCAAGCTAAGAACTGACGCGGATAAGGTAAAACAAAAGTAGAGTTCATTACATTGGCGGTCCTTTTTACAACCCTGTCATTTCGAGTTTCTCTTCAATGATGTTTATGGTATGTTTTTGAGGCAGGAATTCTTGCCCTGTGAGTTGCTTTGTTACATCCCTCGGAGTAGCCCAGGCGTTTAAAAAATGAATACTTACGATCAAAACCCAGTGGCTTCCAAATTGATTGAAGCAACCAACACATACATTTGCGTTGAACAACTGATCCTGCAGTAAAAAAACAATGTTATTTTTTGGCCAAGTAATTTGGCTTGATCCACAACAGGTAATTCCTTGGCATCTAAATCTGTGTTTCATAACTTTAAATATTATCTTTTAATTTCAATTACAATAGTACTTGCCATTGTTTGTCTGATGGTGCCACGGAGTCCCTCATTACCTTCCACCATTTGCGTGATGGTGTGACTGTTGACAACTTTTATCAGCCAAGATTGCTATAATGTAAAAATGCATGTTTTGTGTTTTGTATCTCACAATTCTAATATTAATTTTGGGTTTCAGCCCAGAAAATCTGACAAATGAAATTAGGTGGCAAAAGAAGCTTCGAAAATATGATTTGTTAAATTGTTTTGTAGTTTGTTGCAACAATGACATTTAGCGCAAGACAATGACATTTAGCGCAAGACAATGACATTTAGCTCAAGAAAGATACAGTAAACCTTTATAACAGGCAGCAATATCACCAACCTCACTTCGGTGCTCTTGTGCAACCAGTTCCAGACAACTCTCGATTATCTGTGAAATACAGTGAATTTTTCCATACATTATTATTCATATAAAGCATTGATGTCTGAAGCATTGATTCACTTTTCTATGATTTCAACTAAATCGTGGAATAGAGAACATAGATTTAAAATGGTTACCTTGTCGTTTATGTATTCTCCATCTCGCAAAGTCAGGAAATCTTTGTCACGAAGAATTGTTCGGTTGATTTTAGCACAAATGACGTCCCTTGGCTTATGTTTCCAAATGTGCTGCCAAACTGAATTCATAAAAAATTATATCACAGTCGCTTATAGAGTTTATAGATTTGCTAAATGAAAGTGGATCATCCTTTGTGTGATATATTCACTTACCATCGATCGGCTGACTATCTGTGAGACATTTATCAATCGTATTTCTGTGTTAAGGAAAAAATTATTATTATTAGCAGATTTTCTTATTTTGTTTAAAGTGCATAAGTAGACGCAACTATGCTGCAGCCAAACTTCTGGTAATACTGTGTTTGTTACTTATCTGATGACGTTTTAGTCACAACATTCGACAGTGACTGGCACTATATATCACGCGTTTTGTTGATCATAACTGGGTAATGAATCTTAAGTTAAATTTCAAATTTATCAATGAAAAGATCGAATATATACCTCTTATCGCGGGTCTCTATCTTCTAAACATTTTAATAATATGCAGTGCAATGTAAAGTTTTAAAGATACAAATTTTCCATTTTAAACATTCTTACCCATTTTGCTCTACATCTGCTAAACTTTCGCAGATTTCGTCATCAGACTCTGTGTTGTCCAGAAAAGTTTCTGAAAAGTTTTGTTTGCAGTTAAATGTTTACTTCGTCTTAAAGGTATCCTGTTAAGGGTGTCCTATTTTACTAATAATATAAAATAACGAAGACAAAACATAGAATTAACAATAGCCAATGCTATCAAAAAGAATGTAGACGGGAGTATGTATTTTACCGGCAGAATTTCCTTGTGAGCTGATCGTTTTATTTTGAATTTGAGGACGAGTATGCCAGCCAACTGTAGAAAGAAAAACCAATATTTAAGTGCTGGGGTTTTCATGAGTTTATCATACAAAACTCATGTATCTTAAAAACCAAATGTGACAAAGATGATCCAAGAAAACGAATAAAAGAAGATCAATCAGCTACTTGTGAATAACAATTTGAAGAAAAATTAAAATAAAACTTGCAAAAGTTATCTTGTAAAAAATAACACCTCTTGTAAAAAAACTCTTGCTTGCCCTTCTTATATCTTTTCTCTGCAGAGAAGAGCATCCTCAGAAAATTTTTGCTCTTTGAGATATAGCATAATCCCATCGTATCTCATTTCATCCATTGTTCGATAGAAAGATAGCCACCTGAAAAATCGAGTTTCTGGAATTGAGAGTATTGCATCAAGTTTCTGTAATAACTCAAAGGATAATGTGGCTAGGACCAGATTAAGATGTCATAAACCAGTTTGCTTATAAGATTTGCAACCCTTAGCAAACAATTAGAATTTGTATTTGTATGTATGCAAAGATTTCTCAGCAATTTGGGCCTAACTAAAACCTACAGCCTACGATATTAAAGGGTTGAATCGAAAACGACCTATCGGAGGTAAGAATAGTAAAAGCCCTTAAACAATTACACAGAAATGTCGCGCTAGTGCAGGCTGGGGATTTGTCAAAGTTCGGAACTAGAAAATACTTACAAAAATCACTCGTCAAAAGTGGGCGTCTTCTTTCAAAAATCACTCGGCAAAAGGGGGCGTGAAATGGTCTCAATGAAACGAAAGTGCACACTGCGACCGTAATCCGCCTCGTATTGAAACTTAGTGGAAAAGAACTGTGAACAATAGAAAGGTACAAATCAGTTCAGGGAACAAACCCATTCACGACACCGGTAACAAAGTTCTCCTTTTCACCAAAATCCTATTCCCAATGCATTTTCGCATATATGAATGAATTTGGCTGTTCGCTTCCTGGCTCTAGACGATTAATTTTCTCCTTGTGTTCTTATCACGCCAGGATGGAAACCAACACAACCGAAATTTTCTCAAACACCGCCATGCAAATAAACAGTCTCAAACTCATGATCAAATGCTTAAACCAGGACCTAAGAGAACAAATAAAAAATATGGAGAAACAACAAAAAGAAATAACCAAAATGAAAGGCCACATCATGTCTGCGGAGGCGAGAATCACCGCCGTAGAGAAATCTTTAAAAATCTTAAAAAAGAAATTCGAAACAGAAGAGGCGATGCTCTCCGATCAAGGTGACACCAGTAAAAATGAGGAGCTTCTGTTTATGGCGGAAATGGAGGACTCGGAAGAACCTCGCCCCGGCCCTTCTTCAGCAACCGAATAGCTCGGTTGCTACTTAACAGATCAATTCCCAGTAACTTCTCCATGAAAATGTATCTGGTTTTCTGCTGTCCTTGCTTTTCCCATTAACATCAGCTCCTCTACCTTTATTTTGCCTCCCAGATCTGTGAGCATCTCCAACCCTCCTACCATCATTTTGTGCGCACTATTGTTAAATTCATCTTTTAAGTGTAACTTTTTATGCTACTTATAAATTCCTCCTTAAATAACTTGTATATTTAGTCTAATTTTTCCCACTATCTTTAAATTCCTGCTTAAATAACTTCCTTTATTCTCTATATAGTAACACTCCTTTGACTAAGATATCTTTCGTTGCAAGAATCTCTCGCAAAAGACCATATAACTATGAAATATTTGCACCAGTTATAAATTCGTCTTTAAATAATTTGTATATTTAGTCTCATTTTGGCACTATCTTTAAATTCGTGCCTAAATAACTTCCTTTTTTCTTGATATAGTAACAGTTCTGTTCTTATAAATGTACCCATTCACAAACATTTATTTCCTTACAACAATCTCTCACCACAGTCCATTTAACTATGAAATGCTTAATGAATGGAAAAAGCCATAAATAGCCAACTTCAATTTCCGAGACGGGATATGCTGTATTTATTCAAAATGTGAAACATAATCCAAAAAACCAGCACTCAACCTTAAATCGAGACCCAAACAAGTGTGAAATCACTCAGCTTAAAAAAAGAGAATGCAACACATTTTATCAGAACGAACACGATCTTACACAATGTAGAATTATCTCAATTATTATCTCTAAAAATAGTATCATCCAGGAAAATCTTCCATGTTACCAAAAGTCTGATTACTTCCAAACTGCTATTATTTGGCAAATTAATAACTTCATTTAATCTTCGCATTTACACACCCACTATCCGTACAGTAACCAGATTCCAAGATTAAAGTGGATAATTTCCCTGAGCCTACGAACACTGCATTCGAATCCCAAAGCTGTCAAGTTTTCCGAATCCAAAAAGTGGGTACCATTTTCAAATTTTTACTTATTTTTATCAACAAGACAGCCAATCTTATCAGCAGAGTGATGATCTATTTCTGAATCTCCTTTCACTTTTTCCACATACTTTAAATTATTTCAATCTTTAAAAACAAGATTTACTTCCTCATGAAATCTATTTTAATACTCCTCCTTTAGCACATCTTCAAACGTCTACTATTGCTACTACAATTATCATATCACAGTCCCAAGAAAAACTCAAACTGATACTTTCATTTTAACCCCTTTCTAAATATGGCAGAATACATTACCATCGTCCTTGGCTACAACTCAAAGGTTTGTATACAGTAACCCTTTCCTTTCATTCACAAAACCTTTATTGAGCATCGAAATTCACCCTTCCATCACATCTTTACCTTTTTTCCTATTTCAAAAAACCAAAATTGTTCCAATTATTGATGATAACCATATATTCCTCCAACATCATTTTTTTAACCTTTAATTCACAGGCAACATTTCCTTATTTTAGAAAGTTATTTGCAAGCCTGAACCAATGGCTTTATTGAAAAGAAGAGTGTCGCGGTTTGAAAAATAACTGACAACCTCTCACGCCGAACGAAACGTACTCAAAAATCTTACAAGATGAACAGACATTGTGATTGAACCCGCTGACAATGGCTCGAATTGTAGTCATGAACAAACAATTCTACATAGGCGAATCGAACGGAACACACTCAAAAATCTTACAAGATGAACAGACATTGTGATTGAACCCGCTGACAATGGCTCGAATTGTAGTCATGGACAAACAATTCTACATAGCCGAATGCAACAAACAACTGAGCGCCACAACTTTTTACATTATTTTGACAAACAACAATTATGAGTTTAACGGGCAACACTTTTTATAGAAACAGGGTACAGCTATGGGAACAAGGATGGCACCACCCTATGCAAACCTTATCATGGGGACCTTTGAATCTGATGCCCTGAAGAAAACCCTTCACAAACCTCTTGTATGGTGGCGTTTCATCTACGATATTTTTATGATTTTGACACACGGACAAGACAAACTCACTGTCTTTATCAATACACTTAACAGTACCTATCCCACTATTAAATTCACCAGCGAACAATCCAAACAATCCATACATTTTCTTGACGTCACAATTTCTATCAATAAAAACAACACCCTCTCCACAGATCTCTATCTCAAACCCACAGACACACACCAGTATCTCCTCAGCACCTCCGCACACCTCAAAAAAAAAACAGTCAATCCTATACAGTTTGAAGATACTCGGAAGATGAAACCTACAAATTCCGAACAAAACAACTACTACAATACTTGACGAAACGAGGTTACAAAACAAAACAGACACCCAAACAAATACGGAAGGCTTCTAAAAAAACCAGACAGGACTGCCTGAAAATCACAAAACAACGTAAAAATTACAGAACACCATTTTTGTCACCTATCACCCCTCTTTGCCACAGCTATCTACCATCCTCAAACAAAACATCGACATATTACAGAACTCCAAAACATGCAAAGAAGTCTTCCCTGTCGTACCGATACTCAGCTGTTGTAGACCTAAAAAACCTCCGGGATATATTGGTTCTTGCAAGAATAAAAAGTGACACACCTAGTAATCCTAGTGGCACTTACAAATGCCACTTGCGACATAACTGCTTAACATGCCAACACATCACAGACAGTACTACTTCTTTTAACTTTACTAACACTGACAAAAACTACGACATAAAACAAAGACTGGACTGCAACTCTACTAACAGTCTTTACACATTACAGTGCAAACGCTGTTTAACTAACAGACACAAGAACTGTCAATAACTCTGACAAACAAGCAGACGCTGAAAGACAGATTTAATGAACACAGACGAGACATTATCAACAAAAAAGTAGACAAATCTGGTGTTGCAGAACACTTCTGTAGCCCTGAACGTACCATCAATGACCTTACTGTAACACCATTACTGAAACTCAACGGCAAACGAGAAAGTGTCTGACGAGCCAAAGAGCAATACCTCATTGGCCTGGCAAACACTCTCACACGGAACAGCATGAACAGAACCACTGATCGTTAACCTTATAGCAACATTATCATTATTTCATATTATAGTACTTCATTCCACCACCACCACCCACCCTCTCTCATTCGCCACCCTTCCCTCCTCTACCACTGCGCTGCATCCACACCATTCCACATCAGCCAATCCTACACCACCATTGCCTTTTTTTAAATATGTAAATTTTTAGGCCTTAACTTTTGCTCTGATGAAGCCCTGTATGCCGGGGCAAAATATTAGCCTTTACTGATTTAAGTGTTTTTATTGTTGTTTTTTTCTTGGTATATTGCGGTGTTTGCTTGTTCGAATTTATTCAAGCAAAAGTTAATGATTGGCATCGCCCTCTTGGCGCACTTTTTTAATTTGGAGCTGTGTAAAAAACAGTTACCAACCTATAAGAAGAGTTAATATCACCTCAGCTTTCCAAATGTGTGCGTTATATCACATTAGAACTCAAGATAGTTTCCTAGTGTAAGCAAGATAAACACTTGATTGTTTCGATTGACGAAATTTAGGCTTGTCGCTCTTGTGGTGCACCAGAAAAAGTAAATAAGCTCCACTGAGGGACAAGTGATGAGTTCGCTTTTATAGGAATTTCTCTAAGCAAAAGAAACAAATTGGCAATTACACCAGCCTGAATCAACAAGGTTCGCAGGGTTTGTTTTGTAATTTCAAAGAAATTAGGACCACGCTTCGTCAGGCTACCAACTATGGAAAGTCAAGTTGAGTTTCTGACTTCAAACTACCTGAAGCACCATGGATTTCCTCAGTGCTTGGGTGCAGTAGATGGAACACATGTCTTTATAAGACAGCCTGCTGAAAACCCCACTGACTACTTGAATAGAAAACAGTGCTATTCCCTTGATATCCAGGCAACATGTGATTTCCGATTCTGTTTCCTTGATGTTGTGATAAAGTGGCCTGGATGTGTACATGATGCACGTATTTTCTCAAACTCAGTGCTCAACACTAGGATGAAAAATGAAACTATTCCATCTTGTAAAAAAATCATTGTTGATGGCAAAGATGCAGTTGGTGTCTGTCTTCTGGGTGACCCTGCCTATCCCCTGTTACCCTACCTGATGAAGGAATACCCTGCAGGAGGCAGCAGCATTGAGGAAAAATACTTCTCCAATCGTCTTTCCTCTGCAAGAATGCCAATCGAGTGTGCGTTTGGACATCTAAAAAGTAGATTTTCTGCACTGAGATGTGAAATGGATTTTTGTATTCAAGAGTTACCCAATGTCATATATGGACAATGTGTTGTACAAAACACCATCATGCATGATCGCCAGTTACAGCCAGTAACCTTGAAAAATGGTGGTTCTGGGGAAGCAGAGGGCAAAAGAGCAAGGGACATTTTCAAACTCTATTCTAATAATCACTAGTTTATTTGTTTCTTATTACTGAGAAATATTTTAGTGAAGTTTTTATACAGTACAAAATTTCATTATAAGAATACCAGATGTTTTCCTCAGCCTTAATCTTCTTGATTTTTTATTTTAAGTTTAAGATTATTATCAAAAAATTCTTAAGTGACAAAGGAGTAAATTCACCTGAAGATTGGAGAAAATTTCGAGTCTTTGATGGTGTTTTACAAAACAGGAATAGAACAAAAAATTTCAAGTGCCATCAACAGACAATGAGAAACTCGCATTTGTTTTGACTTAAAAAAACTTTCAAAACAGAAAAATTGAAGTCATTTTGGGCCTTAATATTCTTATAAAAAAGTGTGGATTTTGTTAAGAAATGACTTTCTCAAAAAAGTACTTTGATTTCACAAGGATTGTTTTCTCAGTGTATATTTTCTATCAAATTGTTATTGATAAGTATGAAGTTGCATATAACCCTCATGGTATTATGAACAAAAATCTCCTAACCAGTGGTGGTTTTAAGGGGGGCCAGAGGGGCCATCCATGTTACGATCTCAAGTGAAGATGAAATGCAAATTGAGTTGAATACAAGAAACCAGGCCAAGGGCAGTGGATTTTACCATCATAGAGCAGGAAGAATTGGTGCATCCATGAGTAAGTCAGCAAGTCACTCAGGTCCCAGCCAGCCATCTCAATCACCGATAAAGTCAATTTGCTATCTAGAAATTTTCAAGTTCACAAATGCTTACACTGAATATGGATGTCAACATGAGAAGTCAACAATTAAGCTTTTTGAAATTGACATGAAGAAGAAGTATGTTAATTACAAGGCAATTCAATGTGGCATGTTTATCATCAAACACAGCCCTTTCATTTACGCAACACCTGATTTTTTATTGACATGTGATTGCTGTGGAATTGGATGTGGGGAAGTGAAATGTCCATATTGTATTGAAAGTATCGATTTTGATGGATACTTGGAAAATCCAAGCAGCTGTTTAGCTAAAGATCTAGGTGATAAAGTGATCCTGAAAAGAAGCCATCAATACTTTTACCTAGTGCAACAGCAGATGTTCACCACAGAGCTTCATTTTGTGATTTCGTTTTCTTTGGCTTTGAAGCATCACAATCTGCTTTAATTCATGAAAGAAAACCCCTGACCAAAATCAGTGTGGCAGAGCTTTACCGAGACTGTCTCAGTTTTAGCAATATTGTGTACAGTATTGTGGTACACACGCAAGTGCTACTTGTTGAAACTACAACTGATTAGTAGAACAAAGATATGTTTTTGTGGTGAAGAAACTGGGGAGGCTACAGTAAAATGTCAGAATATGGACTGTTCAATTTCATTATATCATCCTTTGTGACTTAGAGTGACAGGGTTTTTCAATAACTGCTATTGTTCCCTCTGTCAAAGATTACCTGACTAAAAAAGACAGCCCAAAGCAAAAGACGTTGCCACAACAAAAATTGAATTGAACCTAAGAAGGATAATTTCTACAGCCATCTAGACCTCAAAGTCCAAAGGCAATTTGCCCCAACCCCTCTCAACTGCCCTGCTGTTTTGTACAGGTTGCTAAGAAAACTGGAATTTTACCACAAGTTTATAATTTACAGACATCCTATGAACAAGAACATTTGTTGTTGTTGTTTTAAGTATTTTTGTTCAATGTTCCTTTGGTTTTTTACTGAATTGCTCAAACAGTCAAATTCACATAAGTCAGATTTGCCAATAATTGAGTATTGTAAATAAAGAACGAGATGTTGTCACAAAACCCGTAACTTGTTTAGGCTTGACTGTCTTCAGCTTTAGCTATTTTAAAACTTGTTGAGAAATATATATTTGGCATGCACTAGTGCAGATTACAAAATTTAGCTTAGCCTTAGCGCAAACCTTCTGCTGGTTGGATTATTTTCTTAGTTCTAAGAGAATGTAAATGAGAGGGCTTTGACTTCCGCTTGAACAAATAGAAAGTCAATTGGGAGTGTACTATGAAGGATTTTCTGCGCAACAGTCCTATCACTTGTTCTACATGTCTCCTCACATTTGCAATACCCCTAGTTTTCTCAACATAAATGGGGTCAAGCTGATCTTTACCTCGTCTAAATGCTGGGATAGCCAATTCTGCTTGATAAAACAACAAACTTTCTTGTATCATGAAGCCCCTGCCTGCCATCACCAAGTCTCCTGGATAAAGAAAGTAGCTTTAGAATCCCACAATTATCTGTCAGAAACTTGTCTGAAGTCCGTCCAACCCAAAAATTATTGTACCCTGTGGAGTAATACCAATTAGCACTTTGACAGTATTTTGGCTCTTGTAATTAGAGTATGTCTGTGCTCTTGCCAACACTGTTACACTTTTGCCAAAAGAAAACTGGAAACACTTGGGCATAGTGCGCCACAAGTCTTCTCTCTCAGGCCATGAAATAAATTGTTGGCACAGATACACCAAATCTGTAGGCAAGATC